GTAGTAGACAAAATGGAAGTTTATGGCAACTAAATATCTTGCTCCAAATCATCCAGTTCGTGAAGCTAGGATTTTAACTCTGGTCTGCCCTCAAAGTCCATCCAAGTTCTTTTACAAATATCTGGGACAGGATGAACATGTAGGGGACTACGTGCTCACAAACCAGACGTTCCCGGTAAGTCCTGCTCTTGTAAACGAAGCAGGGTGTTCCCGATAAGTCCTGCTCTTGCAAATGAAGCAGGGCGTTCCTTCCCTGCAAACAGGGAGGACAAAGGAGCCAGCTGCAAACAGCAGACCCTGGGGGCTTGTTTATGTGTAAACATCTTGAAAATCCAGAAAGTCAGGGAAAGGTCAGAAAAACAAATGTGTCTTGTGACTTGGCAACATTCCACAAATGACTGTATAAAATAAAGGAGAGTGCACCATTCGGGGCGGCCGCCATGTTTGTCTTGTCTTGTGTTGTCTTGTGTGTTCATTCCTTTGTTTAGGAAACACGCGGACCCCAACAGAACAGAAGTAGATAGATTATATGATATGTAAAATTGTCTCAAATACACAACTCTTTTTTTTTTTTAGATATCTAACCTAAGAGCATATTTCTAACCTGTTTCCTATTTTACTTATTTTAATGTATTCTGTTGTAAAAATGAAAATCCTCAATAAGTAAAATCCAGATCTATATGCAGGACAAATTAAGAAATCCTTGTTTACTTTGTTAATGGCTCTTTGGCTTATTATAAAAGGTTTTCTTTAAATATCCCGCATTAAAGTGTATGTTTTCATTAAAAATCCAATTAATAAATATTCTTAATTTGCTGTCTTAGATGCTATCTGTCTTATAGCAGAAAATAAATAGAAGAGAAGAAACAGTTTTGAATTTTAAATAACTTAAATCAGTAATGATGGAAAAAACACATACAAATAAAAAATAAATTAGGAAGCATGTTGAAAATATATGCTGCTCTGGAGGTTGTAAAAAAAAAAAAACTAACAAATGAGGGGAAAGAAGGATGAATAAAAAAAGCACATGTGATTTTTAGGGCAGTGAAACTACTCATATGTATACATGTCACTATGTATTTGCCCAAACCATAGAATGTACACCAACAGTGAATCCTAACATAAACTGTGGGCTCTGGGTGATAATAAGGTATCAGTGTAAGTTCATCATTTGTAACAATTTTTTTTATGGTGGGGGATGTTGATATTTGGGAGGGACTATACATGTCTAGGGGCAGGGGCTATATGAGAAATCTCTGTACACTCAGCTCAAGTTTTCCATGAACCTAAAACTATTCTGAAAATAAAGTCTACTAAAACAAAATAATAATAATAAAAAAACTCACAAAAAATCTAAGAAACTCATTGCCAGAATGGGATTTGAGGGAGAAGTAGAATGCTGTTAGGTAGAAAGATAGCTGGGATGGAAGTAATCATATCTCCTGTATGTGTACCCAGATAGGCATGAGGGCAAAGCATGAGCAAGTGCCCTCTTGCCTGAGATATGGGATGTTTGTCCTCAATTTTTAAAAGAGGGGGCTGGAAAGGCAGGAGGAGGTGATATCACGGAGTGCTTTGACAAACAGACTAAGTTGTTTTCATTTAATTGAGAGAGTCATTGCTGTTTGTTGACCTAGCAAATTGATTGTTAGGTAAGTTGCTTCGGGAGTGGTGAGACTTGATTAGAAAGAATAGACAGGAGACTCATGAGGAATTTTAAGTGAAAGGTGGCTCTGCCCAGACCTGAGAAATAATAATGGGAATGGAAGGAGGTGAGAGATAGGAAAGATGATATGGTAATAAAATGTGCAATACATAGAAACTGAGAGTTAAGGAAAAGAAGGAGCTTGGGTATCTCAGACAAATTTTGAGAGTAAAGAGCTAGAAAGAAAGACTCATGGGCAATTAGGTAAGAGATTTTCATGAAGTCAATTTTTAAGAACCCATTTTTTGTTTTAAAGAAGGTATATTGATTGCACTTCCAGAATAGGTGATGATTGTAATTTTTTTGTTACCTAAGGAATGAATCCATGCTAACTAAAGACAATATTATGTAAGCATATAAAAGCACCTGTGGTTTTGTCTGCAAAATAGAGTCAATGTTACTTTAAAACGATATTATAGGGTTTAACCTACTGGTATTGAGATATCTAATGGCTTCAGACTATATTAAGTATTGCTAGCAAAAAGCTATAGTGTGGTAAGCATTATTACTGTAATGAAGAATGAATGGTGCTTTCTTTTCATCTCTATTGTTCTGAAGGATATTAGTTTTCCTTCAAAAAAAAAAAGGCTTCTATCTTAATCACAGAAATGCAAAGATGTCTGTAGAAATGAGTATTTTTCATTAGATTGCTGGGTGCTTCCCACAAAATTGAATTTTTTATGGTAAGTGAGGAAGGGTAAATGGGTACTGACTAGGCCACTGGCATTGTTTGTTACAATTATATGCCAGGCTCTGGGATTAGCATATATCGTTTCATTTAATCTGTAAAACCCTGTATATTTGGTTCTATCATAATCTTCATTGAACAGATTAGAAAATGTAAAATAAAAGAATTTAATTGACTTGTCTCTAAATAAAATAGCTGGTAAGACTTTCTGAATGACGACAGCTGCAGTGGGAATTGTAAAGTGCAAATGGATGAATACAACATACATTTAGGTGTGAGAACTAAACAGCCTTGGTGATCGATTGGATATGGGTTTGAGTAGATTTAGGGCCAGGAGTTATTTAGGATGGCTCCATGGTTTCTGGCTTGCAAATCACATATAGAGTTGTTCCATTCCCTGAGATAGGGTATATGTGAGGAATATATGTGGGAGAGGAGATTATGAGTTTGAGCTTAGGCATGCTGTTTGAGATGAGTGTGAGATATGCCAGGAAAGAGATTTAACAGGCTGCTGATTATGAGGATTAGGAGGCTTAGAAGATAGGAATGGATTGACGATAAAGCTTTTGGGGTCATCAGTTACAAATTAATTATTAAAGGCATGGATGGGTGTATAATATTTCTCAAGGACAATGTGTAGAATAGAAGATAAAATGGCTATATGTGACACCCAGGGGAACAACGGCCTTGAAGGGGAGGGCAGAGAGAGAAACTTACAGAAGGGACTTGATAGGAGTGCCCAGAAGTGAAAAATCCTCAGGATACACACAGTTTCATTTTAGAGTTTAGTGATGCTATTTCTTTGTGAAATAGCTGTTACAAGATTGCTCCTCCTCTGCATCTCTCCTCTGTCCTTATTGTGTTGAATGGTACATTTTGCATTTCCATTGTGAGAAGACGATACAAAACCATTTCGTTTAAACTGCCAGTGCATGTTGTATGACTGACATGGGTATTTGTATACTTGTTTCAAAAATTATAGGCAAGTTTTGGCAGAAATATTGGTGAAATCTTCAAAATGACAAACGCTTATCCTTTACAACATCCTGAGGCTGGAGACAGGGGAGATAGGGCCTATTATAGTTTTTTCTTCAACTACAACTTTTATTTCAGGAGTCATTCATAATTACAGATGATAGTAACTTTGAAAGGTGTATACACATGTATACCTCACCAAAATGTAACTCAAATAGTCTAAGTAGGAGTATTCATGTAAAACAAAAGTATCTTGGTGAACAGACATTTTTTATCATGGAAGTTTATATTGTTTACACAAAACTGCTCAAATAACATACCTATGACTAGGAAAAAATAACTTATGTTTCTGGAGACATTTCATGATTATACAGTTGTGTTAGCTTTTTTTTTTTTTCATTTTTACAAGTATACACTGTAACAACTATAAATATTTGATTAACAGGAGTGTCAACAGACTGAAAGAACCCTTATAAAAATAACACTATAGTTATGCCAGATGAATTTAGTTGAGCTATATAAACCAGGAATGAAGTTCTCTCTCAATTTTAATATTTCTCTTAATTTTAATTTTAATATTAAAATTTAAATTTTAAATTTTCTGGTTTTTCTCTCAATTTTAATATTCTTATCTCAAAAGAATATTTCAAAAGGTACCTAGTAGTCATAGGCATGTTCAGAATTAAATTAGAAATGTTAAAGATTTTTTTTTTAGCTGGGCATGGTGGCATGCCTGTAATGCCAGCTACTCGGGAGGCTGAAGCAGAAGGAGAATCACTTGAACTCGGGAGGTGGAGGTTTGAGTGAGCTGAGATCATGCCATTGCACTCCAGCCTGGGCAACAGGAGTGAAACTGTGTTTCAAAAACAAACAAACAAACAAACAAAAAAAGAATTTTTTTGGAAAAGTAGTGACAATATATTTAAAGTAGTTGTTCAATAAAGTAGTAATAAAAACGCAAATTTTATGTAGATTCTAGTTTCAAATATGGAGTAGAACCTGTTCAGTTCTTAGCATCAGACCAAAATTAGTTTTCTTATTTCAAGCAAAAGAAGAATAAAGCATAAAATATTTGGAGTACTGCAAAACTCCAGGGTATTCTAGATTCCATGGCAAACCTAATCTGTATTCCTTGAGATAAATTTGCAGTACTAAAATTTTTAGAGTATCCTATTGATTTCTGTTTTTTTTTTTTTTTTTTTTCTAATCTATGATTGGTAAATTGACCATCTAAAATAATTCAAAACATCTTCAAAGAGCCTTCCCAAAGGCTTTCTTACATATCTTCTAATCTTATACTTCTTCGTAGTTTCTGTCTATATTTTGTATTAATTATAAGGCAGGTTGCTTTTTTGCCTTTTTACTAAATAAATATGTTCTTGATTTTATTTGTATAATTCTTCATATCACATAATTTTTAGAATTTCATAATCATAATGCCTTGGTTTAAGAATATATTAATTTTACTTAGATTTAAACATATAGCCATTTAAGGAATTTTTTTTTTTAAATAAAACCATTTCTTTGTTCTTTTACTCGTTGATCTCACTATATGTCAGCAATAATTTTTCATGGGGGGGATAGGCTCGTTGTTTTCTACATCTTAAAATCTGATTTTTTTATTTGTTGTAGGTTTTATTGGGATTTAATAATGCTTATAATGATGGTTGGAAATCTAGTCATCATACCAGTTGGAATCACATTCTTTACAGAGCAAACAACAACACCATGGATTATTTTCAATGTGGCATCAGATACAGTTTTCCTACTGGACCTGATCATGAATTTTAGGACTGGAACTGTCAACGAAGACAGTTCTGAAATCATCCTGGACCCCAAAGTGATCAAGATGAATTATTTAAAAAGCTGGTTTGTGGTTGACTTCATCTCATCCATCCCAGTGGATTATATCTTTCTTATTGTAGAAAAAGGAATGGATTCAGAAGTTTACAAGACAGCCAGGGCACTTCGCATTGTGAGGTTTACAAAAATTCTCAGTCTCTTGCGTTTATTACGACTTTCAAGGTTAATTAGATACATACATCAGTGGGAAGAGGTAAGATGCATCCTTTTCTTTTTTAAAATCTATATCAGAAAATTGTTAATTATGGCTGTTTTACAATGAACAATTACTGTGCTATGCGTAATGAGTTTTATGAAATTCAAGTAGAAAAATGTATTTGACTCCTCTTTTCCATGCATAAGTGATATATTGTATTCATAAAATACATGATCAAATAATGGATTTGAATGAACTAAAAAAATAGCGATCATTTTATGCCAATTTATTATATTTTAAAATAAATACACTTTAATCAACAATTATTATCCTGATCAATACAACCCCTCTCCCACTTTGGTTTTTTTAAAACCTAATATAAATACATCAAGTACCGTCTTTTTTTTTTTTTGAGACAAAGTCTCGCTCTGTCGCCCAGGCTGGATCTCGGCTCACTGCAAGCTCTGCCGCCGCCCGGGTTCACACCATTCTCCTGCCTCAGCCTCCAGAGAAGCTGGGACTACAGGCGCCCGCCACCACACCTGGCTAATTTTTTTTTTTTTTTTTGTATTTTTAGTAGAGATGGGGTTTCACCATGTTTGCCAGGATGGTCTCAATCTCCTGACCTCGTGATCCGCCCACCTCCTCCTCCCAAAGTGTGGGGATTACAGGCGTGAGCCACCGCGCCCGGCCTGGTACCGTCTTTGATAAAGATGTGTAGGGTCTGATTGCTAATCTGGCACATCATTAGCTCTATGAGATAGTGTGGTTTTTGTCTCCTCTAATATTGAAGTTTCATTGAATTCATGCTGGGGTAAAAGAGATTGTTTCTTTATTTCCAAGTTATATATATAATGGCTTTGATTTTAGCATATTAATTTTGCTCATTGTTATACCTTGCCTATAGTAACTTATTATAATTTCTCCCTATTTGTTCATTTCATAATACTAAAAAAGAACATATTCAAGAGGGACGTTAGTACATAGAAAACACAAAGAGTATAGTGAATAAATGGAGTGAATCTGACCAATCATGGCCCATATTTTGCTGAATAGGGCATATGTTGTTGTTAGACAGTGGGTGAGACCTGAGAGGACTCAGCCGACTGGAATTTCCAAAGATCTGACTTAAACCATCATCAAGAAAAGGAGTTTATATCCCTGTCTTCAAAGTATGCATATTAACCATTTTGACTTCCTTTTCTTCCTAAGTCTTTTTCTATTAATTATAACCTGAATTTTATTGTCTGCATAAACATAAGAGTCCAAAAGACTTACAGAATACCTAAACCAACACTAATGAGAGTCATATGAAGTCATATACTGGCTATAGATTATTGCTTTGTCCCCTGCAGAAATACTTTTTAGCATTTTTAAGATAAATTATGCTTTTAAATATGTCATAAAATGGAAGTTCTGTTTGATTTCTGTGAGGCGGTAGCAGTGTTTTTGTATGTGCTTGACAGTGACATTTTGGTTCACAGGATTTCAGGAAATGACATGCAATAATAAAACACTGCATAACGCACTGATAAAAAGGCATAAAAATGGATCATTCTTAAAATATAGATATGGGATATATTTAAAATCAAATGAAGCACATTTGAGAAATCAGATTCATCTTGTAATTTTTCTCTACATAGCACATTCCATCTAAAATGGAAGAAATGTTCAGTTCTCAAAGCTTTTTAATGCTAATTTGAGATTAATACCAAACCAAGATGATTCTTGCTAGTAATTGCAATATTTATTGAAGGCTTATTACATGTCAACTAGTATGTTTGGTTCTTTACATATATTAGCTCACTGAATCTTCCTAACAACACAGTGATGTAAATATAATTATTGTCATCATTTTACAGATGAGAACAATTAAATACAATAAGATAACTTGTCCAGATTCATAGAACTAGTAAGAAGTGGAGCTGGGATTCCAAACTTGGCAATCAGACTTACGAGCCAGTGTTCTTAACTGCAAAACTATATCGGTTCTTACTATGACATATACTGCTTTAGTTATAAATATCTTAATATTCTACCGTTTTATAGACTGTCTAAGAAATTATAGGGAACTTTTCTTTTTTTTTTTTTTTTGAGACGGAGTCTTGCTCTGTCACCCAGGCTGGAGTGCAGTGGCCGGATCTCAGCTCACTGCAAGCTCCTTCTCTCGGGTTCACGCCATTCTCCTGCCTCAGCCTCCCGAGTAGCTGGGACTACAGGCACCCGCCACTTTGCCCGGCTCGTTTTTTTTGTATTTTTTAGTAGAGACGGGGTTTCACCATATTAGCCAGGATGGTCTCGATCTCCTGACCTCGTGATCCGCCCGTCTCGGCCTCCCAAAGTGCTGGGATTACAGGCTTGAGCCACCGCGCCCGGCCGAACTTTTCTTAAATAAGACTGTGGGCCATGCAATGCAACAGAGTTGAATAGTACCTCTTGAAACAAGGCCACAGAAAAATATTTTAACAAATATCCTGTGAGAGGAAAGTCACTGATATAAATATCCAGTCAATTAAAAATACAGTAGCAATGTGACTATTTTTAATATCTTGTGGTTTTAGCCCAGTTACTAGAGAATGGCAGCAGGATAAACAGATGGCATCCTATCACATAAAATGGCAGGCTATGTGGTCATGGAAGAGTATACTCCTTAACACCATTGTCCTTTGGCTTCTGGCAGTAATCACAGGCACCTAGATCTGTGTAACATGATGTGTTTTAAAGATGCCGTGATAAAATTTAGGAACACCAGCTCACTGCTATCATTATTGTAAAATACAATTTAATATGCACTTACAGACATTTGGTAACCAAGCACATTCAGGCTAGAGTTGTGACTTGGCAACATGTTTCTTATAAATAAATGAGCTTGGTAATAAATGAACCATAAGCCCATTTAGGTGAAGAATGTTTTCTTGATTATATGATACCCCATACAATATCATATATCTTGGGTATTTAATGCCCGTTAGTAGTCCTGTTCAACAGGCAAGAAACAGAGTCATAATCCAGAATGTAATACAAATTCATCTTTCCATCACCTACATGTTTCTAACCATAATCACCAAGAAATTTGAATGATTCCAAAACTGGAAATCTCTCTACCTGATTTTTGTAAATGCCACCAGGATGTGTTTACAAGTAGAAATACAACAAATAAATCAGAAAAAGTAGCTCTTTGAGCTTTTGCAATAAGAATGCAGAGGAAGATGTGAGTTCACCCACATGTCTTTGGTTCTGAGTGTTTTAGTACCAAGCTGGCTAATGCTAAATTCAGCAAATTTGGGGAAGTAATGTGTGAAGTCTGGAAGCTGCCACTGTTCTAAATGAATCATTCCTGAGGAAAGCTGCTGCCTTCTATAGGAAGCTGCTTCCATCTTCAACAATACATTTTTTTTTTTTTCTGGACTGAATTAGTTCAACTGAAAAACAAGAAGGAGCTCTGATGCCAAATAAATTAGAAAAATATTATGAATCAGATACAGAAGCTTTAAAATTTTGTGCTTATGTTATTATCATTACTAAAGCTGAATTAGTGGTTAATACAGGAGGAAATAGCTGATTTGAGCAACTAATTTATGAAACACATGGTGTTAAGAAGTGAGGAGGGAAGTTGTTTTCATGAGTCAGTTATAAGATCAATAGATTTGGGATGTAAAAATAGCTTTCTGTGACATTACACTGAAACTTTGTATATATTGCCAGGTGAGGTAAAAATCAGAGACAATTTAGATAAATCAAGCCAGAAATTTCTTTTCATGTAGTAGCTAGAAAACTGAGGTGAATCTTTCCCATTTTTACATTTGGGTTTAAAAAACTATTATTTGAATCAGCATTGTCGTTGTTGTTATTATTAAATATAATAAATAAGACAGTTATCCAAGCCAGACTGCTATTTCATAACCTATCACAAGGGGAACAAATTCAGTGTGATCCTCCTAAAAGAGACATACGGTGAGGAAATCCCTGGAAATTAAATGGAATATGTGACAATCACAAGCCACTGAAGAGATAAAGAGAGATTAAGAGCTTAGCGAATAGGAGATTATTCAGTGTGTAAAGGTGAAGAGTTCTTTTACAGCTGCTGATCTCAGTCATTTTATCAACAGGAGATGACCTTCGAAATTTTTTAGAGGTTTAGGAAATATTAATTGCAAATAGAAATGCTACTCTGTAATGATTATCTCTTTGTAAGACTTAACGTCATAGATAAAGCATAAATTATTCTTAATTTTAGAAAGTGGGAAATGCATCATTATATAATAACTATGGCTTTGGAATATATAGCTATAAGATTTTACTTTTTATTCATCATTTCCCATCTCCCCAATCTCCCTTGTATAGAACTGGGACATAATACAATTAATTAAATACATTTTGGGACAGGAAAGAAGGCCTATGGTTTTGATCTTACATATCTATAGCAATTTCAGATGAATAATGTGTCTTGAACATTTCAATGCTTGTCTTGAAACCAATATTAGATTTTTATACTGGCTTAGAGATAGTTTTATATACAAATTATGTATACCAACAGAACAGTGATAAGGAAATGTATTCCATAGGGAGCTAATGCAGATTACAGTTTCTGTGTTTGGTTAATTTTAGCATTCAAATTGGTGTAGAGTAGAAACTAACTCTTACTATAAATTGCCTATCTATAATTATACAATGCATATTCTAATTACTTTTATATTTTAAAAAACACATAGGATTCTAAGACTTGCCATAAGCAAACAGCAGAATTTTCCCAAACCTGCCCTGTACCAGAACTTAGAGAACCTCCATATTGCTTATCACATCAAATCTGTGTTTCCTTGCTGTGCCTCCAAAGCTCTCCAGCACATTCTTCCCTGGTCTTACCATCGTCACTTCATATTTGCACCCAACTCTTTCCTGTTTGTTTTTGTTTCAGTTTTACAGTGCTGCTTGCAGGAAATGATTCTTTCTGCTTCTATAATTTTATTCCTGCTACATCTCTGATTTGGAAAGCCTTTTTTTTTTCTATCACTCCTTTAAAAATCAGACTTAAGGCCAGATGCAGTGGATCACCTGAG